CTCTCTCTCTCTCTCTATATATATATATATATATATATATATATATAATTTGGGCTAAATAAAATCTAAAGATCATTATGGCATTGATATTGATCACCAACGCCTTCCCCCACAACTTCATTGTAAACAGTGATCAAGTTTTGTTTGAGTGATAAACTTTTGATTGTGTCACAAACATCCTCCTCCCACAACAAAATAATAATAACATTACCGGGCTTGTGTGAACATTCAGTTCCCAAAGACCTGCCCAATATAATGGTAGAGGGCACAAGTGTACTCCCTCAAGAGCATACTATACATTAACTCCCTCAAGCAAAAGAGCTACTTCGGAGAGGGAAAGGGGAAGGGTAATTGATCTGAAATTTCGGGATCCACCTAAGAATCACTAGAGGTTATTTTCAACCGGAAAAAAGAAAAAAGAAAAAGCTAGATTTGAGTTCTTCAACACTTAGATCTTGGCCTTCAAGAAATGGATGGTCCCTGTTCAATCTTGAGATGTTATTGTTTCCAAGCACAATGAGTGTGCAGTTCGATTTTTTTTTTTTTGGTTCAAGAGGTTACATCCCCAAAATTTGGAATCCTAAAAATACTTCTAGCTTGTGTTTATCTAAGGAGCAAATGGACTCAATGCTCCCACGCTACCAGCAAATCATTTTACATAATGGTAAACAGCGAGTGGCAAAACCAAAATACACAGGCCAGTATACCATCGCTGGCAGAATAAAAAACATTCAGTAGAATCGTAGAAATGAGCAGCTCAACTAAATCCCAACCGATGTAGGACCAAGAAGCTTGGCTCCTACACAAGAATAGCTTTGTTGGAGCTAGAATTGAGGTCAAAGTTAAGGATTTTAGGTTAAATTATGGACAGCAAGGTTGGTTTGATTTGATTAGGATTTTAGTGCTTGCTTTGGTTCTAGAAGTAAGCACTAGGGTCTGTAATAGGGTTCCAATGGGGCATGGAGCTTTTGGAAATTGGATATGCATTTGGCAAGGGAACAGGATAAGGTTAGGACGAAGAGTTGGAGTTTGATTAGTGTTAGGTTTTAGCTATTATTGGAATAGGTACTAGCACTGCCACAGTATTATCAGTAAGGAAAGGAGTAAAATGGTTTGGGACACAATGAGGGTGAAAGGTGTGGATCATATCTAAGGGTTTTGTTTAGGGTGAAGTCAAGGTTTCAAAAAATGCTAGGCAGCCCCTAGGTGGCCTGCCTGCGCCCAGCGCCTAGGCAAGCGCCCAGCGCCCAACACCTAGGCAGGCGCCCGTAGTTTTAAAAAAACGAGAAACGCTTAGCCCGCTCAGGTACATCCACCCTGGGCCACCTGAGTCTAGGCAAGCGGATTTTTGGTCGAGGCTGTCTAGGCGAGCGCCTAAGTGCCAGACCGACCGTTTTTAAAACATTGGGTGAAGTTTGATGTCTTTTAGCAAGCCATGATGATAAGCAGGTGGGATGGACTTAAGGTTTGATGGGGAGGTCATGGGGGTTAGGTTTTAGTAGGTGGATTAGATTTAAAAGATGGGTTTGAGATGATAAGCAGGTGGGATGGACTTAAGGTTTGATGGGGAGGTCATGGGGGTTAGGTTTTAGTAGGTGGATTAGATTTAAAAGATGGGGTTGAGAAGGCATGTCTGGCCCTTTGCAAGAGGGCGGCTCGTTTGTACGATGATGAAGGCATAGAAGTTTATGTAGTGAAGAAGACAAGGTAGTTTTGAGTATGCACCTACTGGATTTGGGCATGCTAGGCTGGACTTCAGGGGTGAGGATGAAGAAGGTGAGGACGTGGAATGGATGAATACGGATGAAGAGGGAGAAAGTTAAGCCTACACATGCACAAAATCAACAACATACACAATTAGGGTTCTAGGTCTAGCATATAGGAAACAAGACCAAAAAAACCTAGAGTTTCATGGCATAAGTACTGACAAAGGCATCAACATCTCAAAGATAAAGTTAACACTATTAAAGGGAAGAAGCCAAATTTCCTAATCAAAATTCAAAGATCTAACCATAAACCTTCATGTGCACTTATACTGCATTTCAAGTCCTATTTTACCAACACATGTCCAGAGAGACTAAGACTCCAAAATTCAATAAGAAGCACATGTTGATTTATAAAACATCCCAATCCACCTAGGAAACACCTTATCTTTTAGAAAAAGAAACCAACTCACACAAAACCTAATACAATTAGGAAACCAAAATAAAAGAAAAAGTAATCCTCATCTAGGTGGGTCCACATGATGGGTTTCTCTCTCTCTCTCTCTCTCTCT